AAGTGACTTCTCATACCTTGTGTTCTCCCCAACCAGTTCATACTATTCAGATTGTTACTAGGAACCCTAACCCAGTTAGGCCCCAGTAGGATCTTTAACAATATACTATTATTCTTAGGCTATTATCTTCTTACTATTATTATACTATAAATAGATCTATTTATAGTATTTACTATTATTGTTATTCACAGTATATATAAAGAAGAATAAGACTAGAGTATACGAGACTATATATATAAGGCTACGTACGTAAGACTATAAGTATAGATGTTTAGCTAAGTATCGCTAAGGACGGATACACACGAACACTAAGAAGTACGCTCCGCACTACATAGCTTAAAGAGTATATAAGGCGAGTACGACGAGCCTACTATTCATAGCTTCTCGGGGACGAGAAGCTTAAAGGGAAGACAGTGTTACGGATTCGACTAAACATCGGAAGGACGGACGCCTAATACACCGAGGAATAATCAGACCACCAGCCAAGAGATGCGGCTCAGGGAGTGTATCCTTATTACTAGCACACTCCCCGCATAGAAGGCGTATTCTCTTCTCCCTTACGCTTTAAGTCGTATACAGTATCGACCATATACTATAGGGATGACTTATATATACGCTTATCGTTAGACTCTACCTACTTACTAAGGAATCCCTAATAGTCTCGACCTATTCCTAAGAATAAGTATTACTCTACTATTTATATATATTCTATATTTTAGGGAGGTCTCGATCTATCTTCTAAGAATAATATTACTTTACTATTTACTTATATTCTATATAGCTCTAATATTAGTACTATAAACGAGAAGAACGACGTCGTTTAGAGATATCGTTGTCTTAGCGGCTATAGACTTAAAAACGTTCTTAATTTATATATTCGACTCATATTTTAGGGCCGTAAAGAGTAGCTAACTATACGTCCGGTACTCTCTAGCGAGCGCGGACGGCGGCAGCGAAAGAGAAGAAAGAGATAATAATCTTCTTTAAGATCGGCGAACCCGGAGAAGAGAAGAGAGAAGAGAAGAAGTCACTAAAATAATTAGTACTTTAATTTATTTTATTATTAGTGATTTCTTACTTAAATTAAATAAGAAGAATAAGTATATCGAAACCCGAGCTAAAATTCTTCTCATTATTATTAACGAAGATAGAAGAGACCGAGAGAGAGAAAGTTACTATTCTAATTAGTATTATTTCTTTATCTTCTAATATCATTAATAAAAGATAAAAACGTTTATTAAAACGTCTAGTAAATACTAAATCTCTTTAAGATTAGAGAGATTAGTATCGTCGCTAATCTTATAAATACGGTTAGCCTTTCGAAATATAGACTTAAGTCTTTATACTTAGGACTTAAGCTATTCTCTAAAATAGATATTAGTAATTTATCACTCGAATCGAATAAGAAATATCTATATCTAATCGACTAAAATAGTCGAATCACTACTAGTAACGGAAATTACTCTCTCAATGAGAGCTTAGAGAGTACGATAATCTATCTATAGATTAATAAAGATCTAATTTATTTAGTATATTATTAATCTTAGTTAAATTCTCACTTACGATAACGCAGCTAGCGCTAGACCGGAAACGAGAATAAAACCTATATAACTTAGACTAAGTTTAGTTATAGAGTAAGATAGAAGAAACTAGCTTAGAGCTAGAAGTAGACGGAGAATCCGTAAAGCCGCGGAAAGCGCTTCTTTCGTTAGTACGCTATTATTATTCTAATATTATAGAACTCACAATTCTTACTAATAAGGCTGGTATTATAGCTTAACTAAGACTAAGTATTTAGCCGAACTTCCTTATATATAAGAGACTATATATATATTAGTAGCGTCTCTCACCCGAGTTAAATAAGTAATACTTATATATCTTATAGTTAATCTAAACGAAAAAGAAAGAGACGAAGAAGACTATAGTAAAGGACTTAAGAACTAAAGTAAAGACTAAAGTGAATTAAATCTTACTTATATTACTATAACAATATAAAACGGCTATCTCATCTAAATCGGGTGGAAATTTAATTATTTACTATTATTAGTGAATAGTTATTTAACTACTATATTATTATTTTCGTTATTAATAATTAAGACGATCTATTTATACGATGAATCGAGGCTATCTTTATACTTACAGCGACTCGAGGACGAGCCGCTTTTTAAAGAGGAAGTAACTATCACGAGCTCACCGTTGTCCCTAAGTACTCTACGCTCTCCACCCGAATCGGGTGAACGGTATAGAAAGAAAAGAAAAGAATAAGATAAAGGACGGTTAAGGCACAAGGCTATCGGTTAACACTACCTTACTCTTTTTACGTAATAGAAAGAGGGAAAGCTATAAGAGTCTCCTCTCACCTGAATCGGCTGAGAGAGAACTCTTCCTTTTTCTTAAGCGTTGAGTCGTTGTCAATAGGACTACGTGAATAGAATAAGGTATTCAGCTACTCTAATTTCTTTGTACCTACTGCGTTGCGTAGGTCCCTAATAGGTTGATCCTTTCACATAAGAGCTTGTCACGTTTGGTTACGAAGCGAAAGGTCTAGCGACGCTGGACATTGTGTCATACGCCCTCGACCAGAATGGCAAGAAGACATTTGAACATTGGTTGAAGTCACCGTGGGCTGCTTTCATTCACGACTGTGGCATAACCCCTAATTTCACGATCCTAGTGCTTTGGCCATTCGAAGCCATTCGAAGCCGATGTCGAGAGAATGAAGGCCGGCAGGCATCACTGGGCCTGGATATATGAGCGTCCTGTCACCTTTCTTGTGATCCCCAGGCACAAAGACGCTGGGAAAAGGTATGGTTGGAAAGAAGGAGAACATCGAGCATACGCGTGGAAAAATTGCATGCCAGTCCACACTGCCGGAGCCTGGGAAGACAAAGATGGCAATCTGTACCTGGAAAGCTCGAGGGTCTTCGAGAACAACCTGCCCTTCTTCCCTCCATAGGACGGTCGTATGGCTATCCTGAATCCAAAGGCCGACTTTGTCCGATGGAAATTTGATCCTAGGATGCCGACCAACTCAGTTATCGAGGATCCGAAGGTGGTGATGGATGTCCCATCTGAGATGCCTCGCATTGACGAACGCTTCATGACCCACCAATACGACACACTATTCGCCATTGTGGCAGTCCCTGGAAGTCCTGCTGACACGAAGTACTTCATATACAATCGTCTAAACGGCGTCGCCATGCACAACCACAAGACAGGCGAGACGCGGTACTTCTATGCCGGAGACAATGCTGTCTGTCAAGAACCATGTTTCATCCCTCGTAGCGAGGATGCGCCTGATGGTGACGGTTGGGTTATGACCATGGTCGACAGACAAGACAACAAAAAGAGTGAACTTGTTATTCTGGATACGAGGACTTTCGAAAGACCCATTGCGGTTGTCCACATGCCTATGCATGTCAAATCACAGATCCACGGAAATTGGATACCGTCGGCAGCATTGAAAGCTCATAAAAGTTTGGTCCGTGAAGTGACTGAACCGATCAAAATCAGCGGGAAAGGAGCTCTCGAACCACTGAGTTAGCTTGACTTCAGAGAAAGAATCACCACTCCCTAAGTTGCTTGTATGAATATTGTGTATTTTGCTGAGAATTCTTCCCGCTGAAGTCTTTAAGCTTGTGCTGTCGTATTTCAAAGTGACTAGGGATGGCCAGGGCTGGATTGCATTGGCCTCAGATTGAATTTATTGCAGTTCTAGTTGGCATCTCCGGATAATGGACAGCTTCTTCTGCTCTATACACCAGGTCTAAAGCCAAATAAAAGAGGAACTGCGATCAGCTGGGGGTTTGCGCTATACGAGGATCACCGAGGAAGAAATGGAGAAACTTTATCGTAATATTCCTGACGCAGAAATAACTTCTGAAGGTGGAGAGGTACTGCTTGATTCTGCCATCAAGCAGACGACGAAGGACTTCAGAGACAAGGAGGAAGGGGTATCGCCAGTCTTTAAATGCACAAGAAGCAGGAGAGAGCAGGATCGAAACTGCTCAGTGAGGAATAAGTGAAATCTGCCATGTTATAGCGGAGGACGATATTTGAAGGCTCATCTTTCTGCTACATAGGAACTTTCGTGACAGTCTGAACTCGTGCTGAGCACGAATTCAGAAAATCGTAATCGACGAGACGACTACCAGTATGTAACGGCAAGGACACAAAGCCGTGAAAATCGTCTTCTCAATCTATTGCAAGTTCTCCTATATGCCACGCGAGTCCTTCAATCACCATACTAGTTGGGTCCCATCAACTCGTTCGTTACCACATGCGTTTCCATTTTCCCTAAGTCCACATTGTCCTGTAGCACGACTGTCTTGTTTTGCCCGTGCTAGTAACAACCGAAACAACCTGCTCCCGGCTTTTTTGTACTCTTCACCTACTCCACCACTAGCAACGAGTGCTTCTTCGATGGGGCTCAACTGAAAGGGAAATTCACGTCCCCCAATCGATATAATCTTTTGCGCAACATCGATGGCTATCTCATCACCTTCTCGCAACGAATCATAGAACTCGTCCTGCTTGATCACAATCCCCAACAACGCCAGGTTTGATGATTGCGAGAATAGATGAAAGCGAATGATTTGGCAATGACTGCCTTGACGCCAGACCCTTTAAGAGCACGAGGAGCCTCCTCACGCGAAGAGCCACAGCCAAATGCATTACCCGCCACGACGATGTTGAGGCCACGGTCGCGAACCAAAATTTCATAAGGCTGTGTGGTGGTTCTGGAATGAGATTGACTCACCGCGTCTGTGTCAACGTTATCACCGAACAAAATACATTTCCCTTTGATGACTTGTTGACCCTCGGGTATTATCCGAATATTTGTCTCGGTTTGGGTCTTCGTCGGGCGTAGGTCCTCCTGGGAAGAGGAGCTTATCATGCCAGTTTTCAATACTGGCTCAGAATACCTCACTGGCAAGAGTTCGTCGACCCACAACTGTCGAATTTTGTCGAATTCATGACGGTTGATTCCGTTGAGGAGAGAAGATGGGTCGGTGACTTTCATCGAGAAGGAAGATGCAGCCACGGTTGCGGCTGATGCAAGGTTTGCATACGAACCTGCAGAGAATATCTCTTGTCAGTAGCAAGAAGAAAATGAGGAGTATGCATAGTGGGATGCTGTACCTGGGCCCATCCGATAAGGGAAGTTCCTATTCTGTGATGAGAGCCAAACCTCCCCTTCCCCTGCTACATCTGCTGCCACCCCAACGCAGTATGAGCATCCAGGGGCGCCGATCTCGAATCCAGCTCGTTGGAACCATAATAGTAGACCCAGATCACGGAGACGGTTCAAAATCGGAATGGATCCAGGCGTTACCTTCCGCTTTCCTTTGCCATTCGGCTCCAGGCCCGCCTTGAACCCCTGGCGAAGTACCAGAGCAGCCAGAATCAAATCTTCCTCGGCAGTTGTGCAAGCTCCAATAAAGCAGCCGTCGAGCTCTTTCCCAAGGACTTCACCGACAGGCACAATGTTATCCGAGCTTGGATAGAGCGCCACGAGAGAGCCCACGCTGGTTAGATCGATCTCAAAAACCTCGGCATACTGGGCCCCTGGGTCAGGTTGAAAATAGAGTGCACAATCTTGATGTCTAGTATCCTTGCGGCGACTGAGATAGGCGGATATGATGGAATCAGGAACAAAGACGCCTGCAATGCCACCAAATTCAGTGACCATATTCGATATGGCAAAGCGCGCATCGGCAGATAGATACTTTAAGCCTGGACCCATGAATTCAACTGCTCTCCCGGCAGCCACAGTGTTTCTTTTCAGTCGACCAAGGACGTACAGGATGATGTCTTTTCCGCCAATGCCGAAGGGTGGCTGGTTAATGAATTTGATCCCTAAAACGGGTGGGATATTAAGCCATGTTTCGCCAGTGATCATCGGTATTGTCACGTCTGCAGCACCAAGCCCAATTGCTAGAGCTTCGAGACTGTCGACACGTCAATATTCTCTTAGGCGGGGCATCTGAGACGGAACGTCATACATACCTTCCAGCAGAGCAGGTGTGAGAATCCGAGCCGACAATCACTTGGCCTGGCTGTGCTCTCTCACGACAAAATTCAGTATGCATAATAGTATAGTTCGGCCCGTAGTAGTCGACGATTCCAATCTCCTTGGCTGCCGCCTCCGCAAGATCAATGGTCCGCTTCACTTCAGGACGAGAGTTGACTCTCGGGTCAACGGTGTGGTCCTGTGCAAGCCATATGCGATCTCGACGGTGAACCTGGGGACGACCAAGCTGTGAGTACGTCTTATTGATACCCACCCAGGATGCTTCACTCGACAGTACCCAGGAGACACGAAGGACAACAACATTGCCTGGCCTCACATCATCGAGAGACTCGATGTCGATGGCGTTGGCGGCAATGATTTTCTCAACCAACGTTAGCGGACGACGATCCATTTCGTGGATGCCCACCCTTCAGGAAACGAGTAAATCCAGAAGTAGTAGGAGTTGAGTGAAATTCAGATTTTGTCGCTCTCCAAAGTTATCCGCCATCTTTGGCGTTTCCTCGATTCCGAAGTAGTTCCATGCCACCTGTATGTGCAACATTGCATACAGACAGTCACACTTTTTCTGAATTGCCGTGAATGAGGCCTATCTGCCGGCGGAGTAAGATAATGGATGCTTTTGCTTGCTATCGGGAATGTGCAGGGTCGGGTAAGGGCTGGTCCTATGGCCCCACACCGAAATTCCGGCCCCAAAAGGCTAGGTTGGCAGTCTACCCACACTTGGTTCTGGGCCGGCGTCCAATCAATGTAAAGGTACTCACTAGATCAGATACGTGGAATAGAAACGGAATCAAAGAGAATCGCTAACGATCGGAACGTATCAAAACATGGACTTGTCCTTGTCGAGTACAGTGCTCGTTTGCCATTTCAAGATGAATATATTGCCAATGACTTCTTCACTCATTGGTCCGCTACAGCCTCTACCCTCATTAAGCAGGGCACTACCCTGATTAGGCTAGGTTGAATATGTCTTGCTGCTTCGGCATCCTATCACCTATTTAAATACCTCGCTGTCACTCCAGATAGATTTTCAATTGATCAATCAACCAATCCCTCCCCTCCGCGATTGGCTCAACCGCTTTTCTCTTGGTGACCAGCGACGATAGAGTAGGATATGTCTCCTCAACGGAATCTCCAGGCAGAACGACTGCGGGCAAAATTGAACGAGGCTGCCGCCGACCCATCGAAGATTCTTCCTCGTGGAATCACACATGATGGACTCTCAGCCCGTCTTTGCGAACAGGCAGGGTTCGAAATCGCTTTCATGGGCGGCTTCGCGGTCTCAGCATCTCATGGCCTGCCAGACACAGGCTACCTCCAATGTGCGGAAATGTGCGAGCGAATCCGTCAAATTACAGACGTGTGCTCACTGCCGCTTCTGGCGGATGGAGACACCGGCTATGGTAACGCAATGAATGTTCGACGAACGGTGCATCAGTATGCGAAGGCTGGAGCTGCTGGTAAGCACTTCTGATTCTGTCAGTTACTGCTACGTCAAACTCACATATCGCAGGCATTATGCTAGAAGATCAAGAGTGGCCAAAGCGTGCGTTGGACTTGCGAGATATGCGGTTTCTCTTCTCTAATTTGCGCTAATTATCTTCAAAGGATGTGGACATATGGATGGTAAAAGGGTCATTCCGCGAGACGAAGCCGTGGCTAGAATCCGAGCTGCAGTGGAAGAACGAGATACGGGTATGTCTTCATGTGACCCAATACATCACTCTTGTCTACCGTGGATCTCCAAGGGACTGACTTACCGTGAAATCCCCTCTCTTCAGGTATTGACATATTTATTCAAGCTCGCACGGATGCCCGTTGCGTCTCGTTTGAAGAGGCACTGCTAAGAGCAAAACTTTTCAAAGAGGTCGGTGCTGATGGGATAGTTGTTGACGCGCTCGTCTCGGTGGATGAGATGAAAATCCTCTGTCAAACCATCCCCGGCCCCATTTGTGCAAACAACCTTGAAGGTGGCAAAACTCCCATCCTTACACAGAAGGAGCTTGCGCAGATCGGGTTCGCCCTCGTCTCGTATCCCTTGTCGTTGGTGACTGCGTGTATTGTAGGCATGCAGAAAGCCCTGGAAGAGATAAAAGAGGACTCAAAAGAGCGGAGGCCATTGGTGTCTTTCAAAGACGTCTGCAACACGGTCGGGTTCAATCAGTATATCCAAACGTCTGAGAAGTACAAGACTGACGTATGAGTTGGACGGTCTGGCAGCGTTTACATTTGTCCTCTATATAATTAGCATATATTTGAGTTTATCCTGATCTCAGTCCCCGTTCCTCGCATAGTCCACCATCTTGACCGTCTTCAGCACTAAGGCTACTGGCGAAATCGATGGCGCTTGTGAGACTCAACGGCCACGCTAATTCAGGGACGAGACGATCTATGTATGGCAAACATCAACTTTCTTTCCGGACCGATGACAGACCCAAGGAGCAAGTCTATACAAAAGCCCCTAGGAGCCTACAGCTCTCCTTCCTCGCCCTCGTTGCCCCTCGCTATAATTTATGTGCAGTGACCATCCGAGTATTTTCGAGGTAAGTTACTGCTCTATCCCACTGTGGGATCAATTCCCGGTATTTTACATTCCACGACGGCTGTCCGCCCAGACTTTACCAGCTGGATGGCCTCCTTGATAGTTGCCGCAAAATCTCCTGTCGTTTCTGCGACTCCTGTCCACACCATGTCTCCTCCAGCGGCCTTGGCGATACCTGCGTAATCCGGTGACGGGTCGAAGCTGATGTGAAGATCGCGATTCGAAGCTCTAGACCCTTCACCTGTAGGGTGAACGAGCTGCATTGATACCCAGGGCGCGTTCCAGCCCTTGTTGTTGAGAATGACGGTAAGAATCGGGATGCGATAACGGGAGCTGAGCCAGTACACACTGCTAGGTGCTGAGAACAGATAAGTCCCATCACCAACAATCTGAGCCACAATAACACTATCGGAGTCTCTGCTTTCATCCATGGTTGCTAGCTTGATGCCCAAAGACGCGCCTCCAACCCATCCCAGCCCGGTCGCCCCGCTAGAGAGGTAACTGTCTGGGGCTGTACATCATAGCTGATCATATGTGGATGCAGTATTAGTCACAGCCTCCACGGCATACTTGGTCGTCGTTGGCAGACTGCGCTTCAACTCCGCGGCAATAAGAGCAGCGGTCAGAGGTGTGTTAGAACCCAAAGTTGGAATCGCTGAGTGCGCGATCTCGGACAGCAGCTGATTATGACTTTGCTCTCGGGAGGCTGCAGAGGTCAAATATCGAAGACTTTTCAAATCGTTTGCATACTCCGGCCTAGATAGGTGGGTGTTTATCTGTTTGATCGCCGTATATGAATCTGCTTGCCATAGGCCGACAGCGTCAACGTGATACATTGCCATACTCCTTTTCAGCGGGTCGATATCGATGTGATAGACTTTTGCGGTTGGTGATGGTCGGCATTGTACAGGGACAAATGGGACGTCACAATCCAAAACCAAGATGAGATCAGCTTCAGGGATGCTAGGGTGGGATGAGTATCTGCCACTGAGCCAGGCTGGGTGATTTGCCGGAAAGCACATATCTCCCATCGAAGTGTCGAGGGTCCTCAGCCCTGGAATTGTATCTGCAAGTTTGACAAGTTCGGTCGGGGCCCCAGCATTTCTACCAGAGTAGCCAGTCACAATCAATGGTTCTTTAGAAGAAACCAATGCCTCCGAGATCTCTCGGACTGCTTCCTCAGGGAGCGCGGCTGGTCCAATGGGCTTCCAGAGCTTCGACTGGAGCTTCAATGGTTTGGTGTCTCGCTCCAGAGTCTCCCGCGCGGCGTAGAGATACACCGGGCCCTTGGGTGATGACGAGGCAATCTGCAGGGCACGAGCAACCACTTGCTTGACATTGTTGCTGTTCCTAATCTCGTTGGTGTATCTGCAGTATTGGCGTACTATTGCTGCTTGGTCGGGAATATCTTGGAGATAATTGACGAATTCGGTTCTCGTACCGCGCTCTTCACCTTCCAAGGTCGAGGGATAATGTACAAGCACTGCTTGGGCTTTTCCTGTCGCTCTCGCGTACCCATCTGCCATCGACAAAGCCACCATCTGCATAGCTAGTAATCAGAGCTTACCCGAGGCCGACAATAAGGATTCAAGCTGAGACGAATCTCGCTAGGACAAGTAATTATCTTGGGTAAACTCGCGTTTCTGGTCTTTTCGCCTTTCACAATTGCTTCCATTATTGCTGGGTGATCAGAGCCGAGATTAACGAAGCAATAGCTGACACCACCCTGTACCTGTTAGCCAAATTGGATCACCTCATATCCTTCTAACATACCTCCCATAGTGCCTCCAAGAGCGCGTCTGCGCCTGTGTAAGTCCTGCACCATGCTAGTATTAGAAATTGCTAGATAGATATAATGATATCAACCTACGACATCGCCGGGCGACGAATTCGATCCCTTGTGAACGGCTCGGCGGCTCGGCTACATACAACAATAGACTCTATATCTGCGGTAAGCATGAGCGCAAGTAGAAATCATAATGAGACCTTGTTACCCCTTAGTATTCGGCGATGAAGTAAGTATGTCCCGAACCGAATTCTCCGTCACTGGATGCGGAGGATTACCAAGGAAGATGATGCGTCTCCATCGGAGTTGGGGCCTTCCGCGGACACATGTTAACATGATCCCTTCATTCCGTGTAGCTTTCGGATTTCGTGTGCTCTTTCAACTTTAGTCCATAGCCGGAAGCAGGTTGCATTGGCTTCTTCAAGTGGGAAGGATTTGGCAAAGCCAATCGACATGGATGTTATCCGTCTTACTACTAAAATGATGAATGCTGCACTCTTCGGTCGGCCATGAGAATGCCGCAATATGTTGGCGTTGTCGGCCTCGGGTCGAATCCAATAGGTCATTACCCTGCTCGCCTGCATCTTCAGCCTCGTTTTGCTGGTGTCAGGCGTAATCATAATGGTGGCTTTCCGGGCAAGGTGTAAACTTTTTGAATTAGTATCCACCCGTCCGGAGTGTCGTCGCAAAGCTCCAAGTCAAAATCCCAGATGACTTTGGCCATAATCATGCGCATCTGCAGGTATGTGAGGCTAGCTACGGAGTGATAAGCTTTGTGCTTTCGAGAAAACGGAGAAGAGAACGTATGCATAAACTTACTTCTTCCCAATACAGTTCCGAGGGCCGTAAGAAAATGGGTTGAAGTTGCTATGATTATCATGATTAAGTCTCTCGTCACCGAGCCAGCGTTCCGGAACGAATTTGTCAGGCTCAACAAAATATGTTGGCAAATGGTTGATCGCATATTACGATATGTACACTCAGCACTGGGGCTTTTATTAGCTTTTACCCAGAGACTTATGTCGGAACGACATGGGAGCAGTGCCGAGAAGGTTGACAGCAAGGTCTTGCTCCTTCAGAGAAATAGTGAACGGCAATTGTATCCACCCCCCTGGTGGAACGATGCGACTAAACCTAGAATTGTTTCTGCTTTAGCTACATTCGTTGACACGAACGTGAGTGGCTGGAGCCGGACATTCCCAGTTGGCACCGGAGGATAGAGGCCACCGTCTCATTGAAAACTGCCAAAAGATAAGGGAGTTCACTGGTGACCACGTCGATGATGATATCTTCATCGCTTCGGAATTCGTCTCGAACCTCCATCACTAAGCGTCGCTAAGTATGAGGGTGTGACAGCGTGCAATAGGACGAAGAAGATAGTGGCGCCTTCACGGAAAGCCCTATAATCACTGGGATACACCACAAAACCGCATTGGAACTTGTCCCCGCCTGGATAGTAGACTGAATGAACGCCATGACACATGATTCCATTGTCCTGGTCTTGATGAATGCAGCCCCAGGGTAGCAAGCGATTCGAGACGTCTTTTATCCCTGAAGCATTGGAACTTAACTGAAAGTGCGACATTGGGCTTCTCATATGGAGTCAGTGTACGCTCTGACCACCGTCAGAGTTTGGGCATGACCCGAGACATCCAGCTGTCACCGAAGGTTGGATAGGCAGGTCGCCACGCGGAACATGGCTGCAGCTCGAGAAAGTAATGTGGATACCTCGGGTAGTTAGGTCGACGACGCTGCCAAGGGAGGCAGTCACGCGCAAGATATGAGGAAAGAAACAGCATCAGGAACCATACGAGAGAAGGGATAAGGAGTGAGAAGAAAGAAAGGCTGCTCAGCGAGCGAAAGATCACTGATAGTATAAAAGGACAGGTAGAGAAGGGGCTGTCGGCAATCTGCCAATGTATGAAAGAGCAGACGATCATCTCCCGCGAAACATGACTTACAAGATGATGATGGGGGCGTAAGAGCGGCTTGTTTGTGACCTTGGAGTATCGCCACGGCTGGATCTAACCGCCCCCCGCAATATCGCGATACGGAAGTGAACCATCTGGGGCCATGCCTCGAGTCAGTGCACGTTGTGAGACTGCGTGTGTCCGCGCCATCTGCCATACACAGATAGTGTTCTCTGTAGATGTTTCCCAGGCCAGTGACCCAATCGGACTCGGTTGGATTGTTTTGACATGATTAGCATCGCGGTCACCAGGCCCACCAGGCTCACCATCAACGTGGACATTGGTCTCGCCGAGTGTTGGACTAATTTTGGGGTGAGGAATTGGATGATTGATTTGACTGGGATATCTGCCCGAGTGGGATTGAGGTTTTCAAAATGAAGGGAACGAGCAAGGTATGAGGTGGGATCTTGGTGGGATGCAACTCGGCAGGTTGACCGCTGTGCCAAGATATATCGTACTAGCCTCATTAGGCTAGTATCAACCGGCCATCACTTTACTGGGCAAAGTCTGACATGGGACCCTCGTCCTCGTTCTCATTGCAGTTTCCCGCCCACAACCGAGGCTCAAGTACCTCGATGGGTCAAAGGACCGAACTCAGTTCCGCCGGAGAGCATTGAAATAAGTGCGTCGTCAAGGGCACGATATCATGTTTTCCTTCCAGTTGTAAGCTCAGTTCCAGAGTGTTGCAAATCCCCATTCTCCAACATGAAAGCCATTCAAGTAACGAAATACGTCTCCGGACCGCAGGACCTCTTTGTGACAACGCTTCCTACACCCGCCCCCCATCCCACGAAATACCTAATCAAGATCCGCGCCAGCGGCACAAACTTCTTCGACCTCCTCCAGATACAGGGTAAATACCAGCATCAACCGCCCTTGCCATGGATTGCAGGGATGGAGTTCGCCGGTGTCGTCGTCGCGACGCCCACGACCCGTGAGGGATCGAAGAGCGCAGTTGCAAGCAGCCTGGATGGCACAGTCAGCACGCAGATGAGCCATAAATTCAAAGTCGGGGACAGAGTGTTCGGGGCCACGCACGGGGCATATGCAAGTCACATTCTGGCGTCTGAGGACTCGTTATTTCCTATCCCACATGGGTGGAGCTTCGCCGATGCCGCTGGTGTGTACGTGACAACTCCTACAGCCTACGGCGCCTTGGTTGTGCGAGCGAATGTTCAGCCGGGTGAGTGGGTGCTTGTCCATGCCGGAGCTGGAGGCGTTGGTCTGTCAGCCGTGCAGGTTGCAAAAGCTCTAGGAGCGACAGTCATTGCCACGGCTGGTTCAGAGCGCAAGAGGCAGGTCTGCTTGGATTATGGGGCGGACTACGTGGTGGACTACCGAGATAAAAACTGGCCGCAGAAAGTCATTGGGCTGTGTGAGCAGCACCGAACAGGCAATGGGAAGCAAGGAGTGGACGTAGTATATGATCCAGTTGGTAGGTGGTCACATATCTCGGTCCTTTTGGTCAGTCTAACAAGTACTGCAGGCGTGATTGACCCCTCGATCAAATGCATAGCATGGAACGGCCGACTCCTCGTTATTGGATTTGCCGGGGGCACTATCGAGAAAGTTGCCATGAATCGAGTCCTTCTGAAGAACATCAGTATCGTTGGTCTCCACTGGGGCGCATATGCCCTGAAAGAGCGGGAAACAATTCCTAAAGTCTGGGAAGGAATTTTCGATCTGATCAACTCGGGCAAATTGAGGGGCATCACCTATACTGACAAGCACTACATGGGTTTAGAATCGGTTCCTCAAGCATTGATTGCTTTGGGCGCGCGAGATACATGGGGTAAGGTTGTGGTGGAGCTGGGAGAAAACGAGGGGGAGGACGGCAGGAGCAAACTGTGACGACCTCCAGAGGCACGATTCGGTTGTCAAGGAATGGATTGGGTTACCAGTTAGAATGCCATGGCGTTCTCAAATGACTTTTGTGGAGCTCCCCGCAGAGGCTCTGTACATGTGTAAGGGTGGTGCGCAGTCAATGCTTCATTGAAGAGCAATTGCTTCAATCTCGACGTCGACGCCCTTGGGTAGTTCCCGTACAGCAACGCAAGTCCTTGCCGGTTTGTGCGAGAAGTACTTCTCATACACGGCGTTCATCTCCCCGAAATACTTCATATCGGACAGGAAGACCTAAATGAATCTGATCAGCTCTCCGAGTTCACTGACTCCCCCCGGAACGATAGCACTCACCCCAGCTCTGACGACCTTTCCCATTTCACTTCCCGCAGCCTCCAGAATTGCCTTGATGTTCTTGCAACACTGCTCAGTCTTGTCCGCAATAGACCCCTCCACCAGCTTCCCAGTCGAGTCTGCGGGGATCTGTCCCGCTACCCAAATCTGACCGGCCGCTTTGATTGCCTGGCTGTACGGGCCGGCAGCTGACAAGAGAGATGATGGTTAGTTCGAGATCCGAATCTCACCAAACGTCCACATGGGCACCGGGTCTTACGAGGGCAGGCATCTTTGGAGAAAACAGGAGTCAATCCGGACGACATGTTGGCGGGGTAGATTCGGAAATGGCGATATTGCTGTTGACGGAGGAGTGAACCTGAGCGGGAAGATTTGATGTATTGTGAGAAATGGCTTAGACGAGGAGATATGCTTCGACAGGGCACGGACATGAGAAATGGGTGAGAAGTCCGCAGGGGCGCGATGTTCTGCCAGTTATAACTCTTCTCTGCAGTTTCTTCGATTGTAATTATCTGTGAAGTCGTTGCCGGGAAAGTCCGCCTTCGGTTTAGGCGGTCGTTGGGCGGTCCTGCCGTTTCGGGCATAGTCGCGGGCTGCCCTCGCCGCTGCTTTTGACGGCTTATCCCATGCGCAGCCAGCTTTTGCTGAGTAATTTCTTGGCAGTCATATTTTGCCCCGTTCGCCGTCCTTACTACTTATATTATATGTAATTATAAGTTCAGAATACCCTTCTCAGAGTCTCCTTAGACCGACCTGAGGCTCTAGTGTGTTTAGGGGGGCGCGGGGGGTGGTTGTAGTGAGTGGTAGGCAAGGTAGGCCGAATGGGCGCTCTCGTTAGGTTAACACCTTTTATGCACCTTTTATGATGCATTTAATCTCTATCTATATATTGTAACAAGACAAAGTGGCTGTGCTGGGCTGGTAGAGGGGTAACAGGGAGGAGATTTGACTGGTCACATGTCAAACCAAAATGAACTAGGAGAGCAGAACAGTCCACAGTGCTGGCAGTGTGCCATTCTTTACAGTTTAAAAAGAGTGTCGCAATTCCATGTTTTTTTTTTGGTTTTTTTTTTGGGCGCCGTCTGCCTATTTCCTGAGTGTTTTATCGGTCCCGTCCCGCTCCTCGATGCCGTCGCTGTGCTAGGCGTACGTTGCCCTGCTCACTGCCTCTCTGTGGATGGTGTTGGTGGTGGTCTTGTTTTGCCAGCGCCGACCAGAAAGGCATTCTCCATTGCCGACCTGCCGGATAGGCCCCTGTGCGTTGTTACATGTGCATGCCGAACCCAGAAGTATATGGTATCTCCATCAAGCCATTCGATACATTGAAGCCCTTAATCGGGAGTAAGTGTGAGCCGCCATAGATTATTATGCTGAATTGCGGACTTCATAGTTAGACGACGACAGCCTCCATCTCTGAGATCAGTCCTCATGAAAGCGTAGATGTAAGTTGGATCGGTTCAAGATATTTCGTAAATCCCTAAGCCCAGCCATGGAAGCATGGACTCAAGGACATGCCAGACAAGCTGAAAGAATATAGCAAGGACATGGGCCGATGGTGTTTCCTGCATACCGTATTGTTAAAAACCTTCAATCTGCGGAAGTCGAGGCTCTCAGCGGACTCGATTAAGAAACCCTTTATCCACATCCCCTAGCCTACTCTCCTACGACCGTATCTTAGGAAAATGATCTTCGTACATTCGCTGGTGACGGTGAGGCTATTGCAACCCTGGGCGATATGCCTTCGCCAAAAACGCTCCTGTACATGCAGATGAGACAAGTCAGCTTCTATGATGAGGCAAATAGCTGAACATCACTGAGCACTCCCTAAGCACTCCCGGAGCAGGCCTGCAGCAAAACACCCAGGGCTGAATTAGGCCACCTAGCAACCAGCCATACCTGTCCCTTGGCTAGGCATCTACTTCAGACCGGTATCAGCGAGTAGTGTCAGGTTGAAGGGTATGCGGGCGTATAGGGATTGTAATACACGGTGGGCAATTATAACGAGGTAGAACACAGACAAAAACTCAGTTCCCCGAAGAGCGACGTAGCCTTGATAGCCCAGGAAGCGCCAGAGGATTTGGAAGAGGGATATTCGAGCAGCACAAACAGCAATGGCAATTCAACGGCTTTGCAGACAATTTACAGAGTACGTGGTCATATACTCGTAGTGGACGAGTACGTAAGCGGCATTCAAGCTCTATACTCCTCTTCTACCTACCTCCGCCTCGTCAACCTTGAAGGACGCCGGACAGCGTCGATAATTTCCATACAGACAAGCTTTCTAGCTCAAATGTCCTATTCGCTTGTCTTCCTGCAATCGGCCACAACTTCAACTCTGAGTTTGGCCGCGTAAGAAGATCACAAAGAGTATTTGAACAGGGGTGATTTGTCACCCATCTGACCCAGTTCTTCCACCGAATATCTTGCCATGATGTCTTCTTTCGAAACCGCTGCCCATTTCTTGTTATGTCGGGCGTAGAGAAATTCAAGCAGCAGCGCGCACACGATACCGGCAGCCCCGAAAGCCAGCGAGGTGCCAAAGCCCGTCGGATACCGAGGTGCTTCGCTCTGCTTGAAGATCCAGCTTCCAATGAAACCGCCGGTATTTCCCATGGTGACCATGAATGCAATACCCATCACACGCTTCTCTGCGCCGGCGAGATTGTTCACCGTCCACGCATTGCAAGCGGGCACGATAGGATAAACGCCGACGCAGGCTAGGACAACCATGGTGTAACAGAGCGCCACGTTCGAAGTGATTTTGGGCGCGAAGCTGAAAAGTACAGACATGGAGATGACGACCAGAGCTTGGAAGAAAACGATGATCGGCATTCGGCGTGCGTGCTTGTCTGCCCACAGTGACGACAGGACAGCGGCGATGGCACCCGCAAAGTAAGGCGGCGCACTGAGTAATTGTGCGTTGGTCGAGCGAAACCCCATATTCTTGATAATCGTGGGCATGGTGAACTTGAGTCCGTTGTTGGGGACGGTGTTCGAAGCGCAGATCATAGCCTGCAAGTAGATGTGCGGGTCCCCAATGAGCTGTCTGAAGTACTTCCACCGGAATCGCTTGGTAGATTCACTGCTTTCGACCTCGGGTTTGTTGACCCCACGAGTGACAAAGTGCATGAGATGCAAGTAACGCTGTTCGTCCGCGTTCAACCAGCGTCCCGAGAGGGTGGGCGAGTCGGGCAACAGGAAGAACGACACGACGCCGAAGCAGACCGAAAGGATGCCTTCGATGATGAAGATCCACCGCCAACCTCGAAGACCACCGAGGCCGTCCATCTGAGCAATCCCAGCAGCCAATAGTCCGGAGAAAGCGCCCGACGCTGCACTGGACACGTAGAATAATGCGTTGCGACTTTGTGTCTTGTTCGGGGGGTACCTGAAGCGTCACGTTAACACATCTCTGGGGTTCTCCGTGGCATGAGGACGTTTATTTCGTATACGTACCACTGACTGATCAGCCATACAGCTCCTGGGAAAAACCCTGCCTCGAAGATGCCGATCAAGAAACGGGTGATGCAGAGGCCAGCAAAGCTCTGGACAATGCCGGACAGGGTGACGATGGTACCCCAGCACGTAACCAGAATGCCAATGTAGTAGCTTGGACGTTTGAACTTGGCCAGGATCATGTTGCTGGGCACTTCGCAGAGGATGTACGGGATGAAAAACAGAGCTACAGCAATGTTGTAGTCATCCCCTTGCATTCCCAGACTGTCCTCGAGACCCTCAATCTTGGCATTGCCTGCATGTCGGTCGATTGGATGAGCAATCGCTGTCATGAAAAGGGGGAGAGAGGGCGGGGGCAAGGGGGAGCCCACCAATATTCGCACGGTCGAGGTGCGAGATCAGATAGAGGAACGACAGCATGGGCACCACGCGATAGTCCACTTTGCGATAGATGCTGCGCTCTTTTGCCGGACTGATGCTGGCGAGGAAAAGCGCGTCATCTTCACCGAGGCCGAGCTGCAGGTATTCGGCCAGTCTGGACGATTTCTCGCCATCCTCCAGATGTTCGAGGCAGACTTCCACTTCCTTGGAGTCGGGACCCAGCTTGTGTTCTAGCTCGCCTGCGGCGTGTCGGTGTGCCTCTGCTGAATAGATGCCAGCACGGACAGACGCCCCAGAGGCTGGACTGGTAGGTTGGTCCATACTAAGCGGAATCAATCGCTTTGGCCAGGCTTGGAAGACGTGTGTAAAGAAACCCGATTGAATGAGGGGCGAGCCAGCTTCCGACTCTGGGACACTGAACCAAATGTGACGGAGGACATGGGATAACAACGCTTTTCCATTGCCCCTTTATACAGTACGCTGATCCAGTACACCACGGGTTGGAAACCCCGGAATACGACCTCAAGCGGCTAGCGCAGATCTTCCCCAGCTTCCACGCAGTGAGATCACTTTCTTAGACGTTTTTTTGCCGAGAAACGATGATCCCGCAAAATCCGCGGGAAGCTCTGCGGAATTCCTCGTATTGAAACGAGCCGCGGATTACTTTTGCCATCATCTGGTGGGAGGGTGGCTGCAAGTGGGAATCCTACTTTTACTTGCACACCGGTGGCGAATTATCTGCAGCGCTGTTTCAGCTCTAGGTATGTAAACAGAGAAAATACGATAGGTCTAACTCGTATACGAGACCCAATGCACAAGACTCCCAAGTGCTCTTATTCTCGGCAGGAGACTGCGCGTCTGACACAAGCGTGATTCATCCCGCCTCTTGCATTACAAACTTATTCGAGGTTCAAAAAATGGCCAGTCCGTAGCCAGAAACTCTTCGGGTAGACCTAGTCCAAACAAGAAACCATTGGGATCGGGAAAGTTCATGTTCATAAACATGTGATCCGACCCAAGGTGGTCGAGTGGCGGCAAAGCCGTGTGAGGAGCATCTTGTTCTCGATGCACCTGAGGAGGATACACGGTATCAGTCGCCATACCGTTGGGAGTTTCGGACTCGACCGTGTCGGAAGACCGCACGTCTTCGTTCTCGCCCGCAGGACGGTAATACCGCTCCAAAAGCATGACATAGCGTCGCGCTAAAGATCCATGCTCGCTGACCGAGCGAAGGAAAGCCATGCCGGACTTGACGATGACAGTGTCTTGAGCCGTCGATGCCTCATCATAGGGGCAAAGGCCCAGCATCTGTGCAGTCAACAGGACTCCAAGTGAACAGAACACATCTGTCGAACGTTAGTTGAGAGCAACCACAGAATGCGACGCAGTACGGACAGTGAAGAAGGTACCAGACTGAATGGAGTAACTGCTTATGGTATAGCAAAGAGATTTCTTGGATGGTTTCTCTTGCCATGGCGATGCATCGCTGGGCGCAGGCCGTTGCGAGAGCTTTGAGGTATTCGTCGGGGAAGTCGTTTTTGGCAAGTAGAATCATGGACGGTCGTTGGAGCAGGAGCCTCATCTGGAGGTATCGGAGGTAGATGACATGGCGCTGCCGCTGAGCATCGATCCCATCCGAGATGTCCGGCGTGATCTTGAGATGAGATGGTACATTGTCCCACCAAGTCTGTAATTGTCCATCTAGGAGGACGATGTTGCCGAGGACGGCATATTGCTCCTTTATATTTCCCGATTCCTCTGATTTTCTAGCCGCTTTGCCCTGTTTCAGATAGAGCATTGACAGGATTTTGTCAATCACGAAAGACAATTTGATGGTCTGCACAAATATACAAAGTCTAGAAGGCTTGCTGCTGGGCTGTCGTGGCACACAGACCGAGTCCACAACGTATTGATCGTCGACCTCCGATGGGAAATCCACATCAAGAGCATTGGCGAGGATAATTGATGGCGGTCGTCCAAATTTCATACTGAGCGTCCTGTCCAGGACAAAACACCCCCACCAGAGACGCTTCCTCGCTTCGCGGACTGTAGGTGACAGCGTGTGGTCGTTCATGGGGTCGATATGGAGGCCAATGCTCATCGCACTCCTAATGGTCAGCCCGAAGAAGTTCCAGCATTCATTCAACTTCAGCGCGCCTTGAAGATAATGGCAGAGCAGCAGCATCCCTTGGGTCAAGTGCAAATTGAAGTCCTCGAAGACGTGAGAGAGGATAATGCTCTTGGCGCGTTCAACGTAAGGTGAAGCGCGCTCCGAGCAGTCCAGTTCCCCATTTGATGAATTGAATTCGCATCCATACGCAAAAACCATATTGGCCACTGCCAGCCAGGCCACTTCACAAGACGTTCGGTCCGCCCACAAACACTCATACTGACTTCGAAAAGTGGGTTCATGGATGAATGGGTACAGGAGATGGACCCGCTCGAAGTAAGCGTCCACAAGATCGTCTGCATGCTTCCTGGGCGGCAGCATGTCATATCTGCGCCTTTCCCCAGGGGTTAAAGCTGCAATATTCGTGGCACTTTCCTGGACGCTGACAGTCTGCAAGCAGATTACGGTTGCAGGAGGTTCAACCAACCCGCAACGACGTATCCTTACCGAATCGCTGTCCAGACTCGTCATAGCCTGTTGCCGGAGCTCGTCTCGCACCCCAGAAACGAACTTGAAAGCAGATGAATCGCCAAAATATCCGCTTGGCTCATTTGCAGGGGTCGCCATTACTTCTGCTGAAGTCTCTCGGTCATGGACTGGAGTGCTCAGGCAGTGATTGTGGAGCGTTGAGTCGGGCGACCGGTAGACAGTGCCTCGCCCATTCGGGCTATGGTCGTGAGGAGTAGCCAGTGATGACACTTCGTTGACTGGATTCGTACGCTGGCCGGAGCTGAGAGCAGCATTACTGCGAATTGCTGATTTGTCGTGGATTGCATTTTTCCTAAATGAATCATCAGCAGCAAGGCACGTCCAGCAACTGAACCATTCGCCTTCAACATACTTGCTGGGATATGTGCAGAGGAGGCCTCGACTCAGGCAGCCTGAACACTGTGGCTTGAGGCCATCGCACCGATGTTTCTTCTGACGACAATTGCTGCATGCCCTTCCAAACCCCAGTCTCCTGATTTTCGCGATTCTGGCCCCGTCCCCAGACATTGCGGGCAACGTGGAGAAAGTCGAGCAGGACGCCGGACCGCGGGATTCTTATATTGCCGCAGGGACCAAGGATGGGTGGCTGACTTGGCAAAACCTGGCCTCGCCCACTCGTACCGGGGACCAGTCCAGAAGCGAATTTAGTAGGAATTCGAGCCGTGCGAGAACCACCGAGTGACGAGGCCAAGTGATCATGTAAACCCCCAATTGCGAGTGCGTCTTCGAAACCAATAATGTACGCGGTTCCCACCACATTCAGACACAACTCAAAGCGCTCTCGAGTTGGACCGGAATCGAGATCTGTTTCGGTCAATATGTATCGCAATTCGATTGGCAGAGCGGGTTAGATCGCTGGGCAGCGAGGAGTCGAGGACCAGACGTATGTACATAGCTCAGCACACACGCGATGTGGACCTTCCGATCCCAAGAGCTTCTCAGCGTGACAGCTACGGGAGTGAAGTATGGCGAGCCGCCCAGTTCAGCACGTCCAGACTCATGGGAGAATCGAAGATACTGTACCCAAGACCCTCGTCCCGTTAACCTCTGCCGATATGGCAAAAGCTACTGTGACCGGTTGGCCTGGCTTGAACCGACCCCCCCTCGGAATTCAAAAACTCCGAATAGGGCGGAGCTGATGAACCCGGCATGGAACCGAGAGGCAGCACTGGGGGATGCAATGTTTTCGTCGTCTGTACATAAAAATCTTGAGCCGCCGCGTCGCCGCGTCCCAAATGCGGTTCTCCCAGCACCAGCAGACTTTGTACATCGTTGTACCCAGACAGAATGGTGCTACCCTTGACACTGGCGTGCTGGGACTACGACAGGGTGAAGGCGTTGGAGGATGGAAGGGTACGGCCAGAGGGTATCGCGCTCACCTTCCTCAACTACCGTGTGGAAGAGACGTAAGTGACAGGGGAACTGGAGGCTATGCTGTCCTCTTCTACTCACTGACAGATTGCCAGATTCTTTAGACAACTTCGTTTCCAGGAGTTTGATGTCTCAGAGCTCTCGCTCTCGTCCTATGTCTTGACCTTGAATCAAGATAATCCACCTTTTATTGCCTTGCCGATTTTTCCCTCGAGGTTCTTTAGACATCAATCAATGTACATCAACACCAATGCCGGTATCAAGAAGCCAGCAGATCTTAAAGGAAAGCGAATTGGGATACCGGAATATCAAAGTTGGCCGTCTCGAATCCTCACCGAGACTCATGATTCTAATGAAAGCTAGTGACGGCCGCAGTCTGGCAACGCGGGATCATGGCAGAAGAGTTCGGAGTCCCCATCACCGAAGTTCATTTTGTCACCGGCGCCATTGAGCCCTCAGTCAACGAACGAAAGAGCAAAGTGCCTCACTCCTTGCCGCCAGGCGTGAAAGTGGAGTCCATCAAACCGGGTCAAAACTTGTCGCAGATGCTTGAAGACGGCGAGATCGATGCCATTTTCAGCGCATCAAAGCCCTCTAGCGTTGATCGCTGCTCCCATTGCACCTATCTATTCGAAGATTTCAAGACCGCGGAAGCAGATTACTATAAACGGACGAAAATCTTCCCCATCATGCATGTCATCGCAATTAAGCGGGCCATTTACGACGCCAACCCCTGGATAGCGCGAACGCTCCAGAAAGCCTTTGCCAAATCATTGGACATGGCCAAGGAAGCCTTGGAAGAGAGATCTGCACTGCGTTATATGCTGCCGTTCCTCGAAGACCACATGAGGGAAACCAAGCGCATCATGGGCGAAGAAGGCTGGAGGGATGGCTTTCATGAGAACAAGCACGTCATCGAGAAGTTCTTACAATATTCCTATGATCAGGGGCTGGCTGCTGGGCTTTACAAGGCTGAAGACTTGTTTGCTCCCAACACTCTCGAACAGTTCGTGCTGTGAGAGAGCAGTTGTCGGCAGCCGGTCTTTTGAGAGACTTGACTGGGGTGCTGATGGTTGCGTGCGGCTGGGTCTTTTCACGTGCCTCCATCACGCACAGATAGTGATAGGAGTATCTCGTCGAGCATATATCTCGATTTCCCCCAGATGGGTCGTCTAGACCTAGCTTTAGAAGCCCCCTAACAGTCCCATTCAGCCTCCAAACACCCATTCAGAAATCGCACACCTCCTGCAGGCATGCGAAGACTTAGCACATTTGCAATGCGCTCGTAGAATAGATATGCTCAGCAAGTTCTCATCGGCTATCATTAGGACACTATTCTCAAAATGCCGTTCATCTGTGTCGAATTGTCCTCGACCGATGCTCCTCCGCTGTACGAGTACCTCTTAGGACCCTGAAACGATCACTTCGTGTATGGCAAACATCATCTATCTCGTGAATGCGGGTAGTGCGGGTTCCAGACAGCGCTCGGCGTGCGAGAGGATTCGATGCAGATCCAATACTAGATATATGATTCGCCCTCTGCGCTTTCAACATGGTCATTCGGCCACCGCAATCATTTCCCTCATGTCCGACATTGGTGATCAAGGGACGGTCGGCTGGCATTTTGCCCCCGCCAGGGATGCATTGACACTCCCGCGCGGCTATTGAGAAACCCGAACCGCGGAATGTCGATCAAGGATTTTTGATCTTGGCTCTTGAATGAGGCCTCCGATGTACGTTGACAACATGTTGCAGAAGAGGTTAAAAGGTCATCGCTGTCCATTTTTGGCAACGATACATTCCTCACCAGCCGTACAAGGGTCGAATTCGCAACGCTCATCGAAATGGTCTCTTTTGCAACATTCCTTGTTATTCTAGCACTCCTTGGTCTTGCACTACAGTTCGTCCTGAACAAATGGCGTAAAGAGCCTGCGTTAGATCATATACCAACTCAGCAATTTCCCGACGGTGACAATTCCCGTGCTCGATACCTGACAGATTTGAGATACCTCCTTGAGTTAGGCTATCGTAGGTACAACAAAGTTGGCAAAGCCTTCAAGATCACGATCCCCATCGGAGGATATGCCGTGAAGTACCGAGTCATTCTTCCGAAGGACCACCTGGAGGAAATCAAGCATCTTTCCAATGATGTCTTCAGCTGGCAGCTCGCTTCCCGAATCATTTTCGCACAAGACTACACCGGTGCGCCTGACCGTGGGAAATGGTCTGGTAAGGCACTTCGGGTTGGTATTCACCAGAATCTCGGCGACATCACGACACAACTGGACCAGAGAATTGTCGAGTATTTCAGTTCACACCTCTCTCAACAGAAGGGCAGTGTAGACGCCCTCAATATGATGAGTTTCTTCATTCCGACAATCACCTACGTCACCAATGCGTTGCTGGTCGACTCAAGACTTTCTTCCGATCCAGAATGGCTACGACAAACGGCTAACTTCGCGGTCAATCGTTATGGGGCTGCGGACGATGTGCGGAAATGGCCACCGTACCTTGCAAATATAGTAGCGCCGTTCATTCCCTCAGTACGGAGACTACGGGCACAACGAGAATATGTAATGGAGAAAATGAAGCCTATCTACGAGGAGCTCAAAGCTAGTGGGCAACTACGGGTCGATGACAAGAAACTTCGCCGGAAAGGCACGTTTGGATATGAGTGGCTCTGGGGCGGAACACCGGACGACGTGACCCTGAGGGACTTTTCAGATACGATGATGAGGACCATGATCGCCGCCATCCATACGACTGCTAAGACCATCAGCGTGGCCCTCATCGATCTTCTGACCAACCCAGAGATGGTGGAAGCGCTGAAGAACGAAGCCCAAGAAGCTGTGTCGCCAGACCATGCCTCGGTGAACCTGGACAAGCTCATCAAACTGGATTGTTTTCTCAAAGAGTCGCAGAGGCTTAGTCCCGTCTTTCTCTGTAAGTTTCGTCCACGGTGTTATGCATGATGTTGCAGAACTAACCGAGACCGTAGTTACAATGAACCGCATCGTGACTCAGGATTATGAGTTTAAATGCTCCGGTCTTCGTCTGCCAAAGGGCACCATGGTGACAGGTCCTGCAGCTGCGATTGCTACCGATCCTGACGTATTCAGAGATCCCGGCACATTTGACGGACACCGATACTATCGCATGCGCGAAGAAGCCAAAGACTCGGCAAGTAGTTTGGTTCTCGGCATGTCGACCATTGACTCGTTGGGCTTTGGACTCGGCAACCAGGCTTGTCCTGGCAGATTTCTGGCGGTCAACAATCTGAAGCTGATGATTGCCAGACTTTTGACGGGCTGGGAACTTTCGTTGGAGAGCCGGGGACGAGAGTACAAGGGACCACGACCCGTCATGGCATACAATGATTTCTCCGTTGTTCCACCGAGTGAATACAACTTGCGGCTGAGGAAACTCTAGATAAAGAATGTCTTTTTTTTTTATCACCCCAATGGTGGTCCAGCTATAGACGACAAGAATTCCCTTGACAGAGCTGTGCTCAGACCAATCGAGTCCGATCTGGGGTTAAATCTAGAACAATTGAGTTGTGGAGACCGATAATTGATATACGTGTCTCTAGCCATAAAGAAGAAAGCTAGCCGCAGCACGGTGGCTTATAGAGCAACGAAGCTGTAGTGCTCGTATCCTTTTTCACCAGGATCTACCATCGATTTCAGATCGGAGAAGCTTCGGACTACGAAAATCCCCAAACGTTCGTCTGGTTCTCATAATCGACAGATTCAAAGGTGCGGTATCAAGGGAAGCAACTCTGGTCGCGATGGAATCAAGTAGGACTATGCTCTGCCTCGAATGAGCTCCTCGATGTTGACGATCAAGGAGCTGGCCATGGCCGAATTGATTCTTCAAGGTCGGTGACCGAGCCACCCATGGGATTTTCAAGTGCAAGAGAATCTCTCCTACGGACGACAAGCCATTGAACCGGTATTCCCCACGAACTGTCTAGATATTCCTCTCATTTGACTGCACGCGGAACGAGTTGCGGAGTACAAATATATAAATTGAGTGCGGAAGCCGATGCGGCAAAAGTGGAGCGAGCATTTGCCTGCCATCTTTCCGAAAGGGGTTCGGAGGGGATGATCCTCCCATATTAATATAATAATAAAATAATAATCATCCTCCCAAGCCTGGACTTCTCACACTTTGCGCCTCTACAACCGTTCTTTAAGTAGCACCTCCTCAATTTCCACGCCTCAATTCACGAGACACAACGGGCTAATGTCCATCAGCCCTTCGAGGAGCAGAGCATGGCTGTCGCAACAAACCTCGTCGTCATCGTTGTAGCATCTGCTCGAAAGCCTGTGTGCGATCCGAACATCTTGCGCGCCATGAACGCTCCCGTAGGTTGGGAGAGAGAGAGGATCCTCCTTGCATCGATCCTGGTCACAAATTTTTTTTCTGAGGCTTGATTACCACCAGACGCTGGTGAACGGCCTTTCAGTTGTCCCTTGTGCGGGTCCTTTTTCACCCGCTAGGATTTGATCCATCACCATATCAGAAGCTTGCATTCGGATCAGGCCACACACACAGTAATGGGTGACCGTACCAAGAACCAAACAACACACGCCCATCGTGGCGGCGCAGACCATGATGAAACGGTACTCGGTACGCGCTATGGTCCTGAAAGAGGACCAAAAGCTTCCCTGAGTGCCTCCAGAATGGAGCCAACCATGTGTGATCCTTGGACATTCTCCCAGGATGAAATCTCTTTCCCGGCAGCCGAAATGTTTTTGGACTTGTCGTCTGCATCCGAACATTGCTCAGGTTGGCCAGAGTCTATCTCTGTACGAACTTGGAGTGCGGTCTTCTCACTTGATGCGTGGCGGGTGACGTCGGAATCAGATCGAAAAGCCTAAGCAGAGAGTATGGACTGGCGAATCCTAGAACAACGGGTAGACTAGATCGGCCTCATTTTGCCAGGGAATCTGCCGAGTTCCAGGAGTAACACGTCGAATTACTACATCTGTTCCACATGCGCCCTCTGGAGGCCTTGAAGTCAGTCAGCGTGAATTAGGTATTACATTAGACTACTTAATATGGTTCAGGGGCTGGCGACAAACTAGTCTGGCAGAAGTGGTTCAAACCAAATCTTGTCTGCGTCAAATGTTGCTGCTTGCCAACCTCGACTCGTAACAACCTATCTACTGATACTGATAGCAGTAGCCACATGCGGTTGGGCTCATCACGTCGCCCAAAGACTTTGTTCCTCCCAAAATCCCCCAGTTCATCGTCGTATCAAACGTGACTTCTGGCGCAGTCGGAGGATCGAAAATTGTACTCGTACCATTGAGCGCATTATTTCCATATGTCCTTGCCTGGAAGTCTTTCTTTTGCCATTGGTACCAAAGTCGATCTATTTGGCCATGATGGAGGAAGAAGGCTGGGTCCTGGGGACTGGCGAAGAAGTCCTGGAGGCTTTGGCCCAGAGCGAAATGACCATTGCCGTGGACACCCAATCGTGAAGTAGCCGAGGACAGGGCATCTTGGAAATCGGCGATAGTGGTAGTAGCCAGTGCGGCATCGACGTAGGTCTGATTCGTCCTCTCCGAACAGAACTGGTTGAGATCGCGCAGCAGACAGTGCGGATTGTACGCCGTCCAATTGGAGGGCAGCCCGGTAAAGACGAGGGTGAACTCAAAGGGCCCCAGGTTGATCATGACATCCTTGAAGGGGCCGCTCTTGACACAGCCGCCCCCTGTACCACGAGGAACAGTGTCCAGTGATCCATCGGGCTTGACACCCACAACGTAATAGTCAAAGCTGCCGTCATAATAGCCATCACCACCCAGAGACGTGTCGCTGCCATCAAACAGGGGGCTTGAGGAGAGATTGTGAGCCCACTTGGGCCAATCCCAGTATGGCTGTGCGCCGGTGTAGCCACACTCTTGAATAAGGGCTGTCTCCCAAAGCCAGACGAATTCGCGATGCCAGCCGAGGAAGATGCCGTCGAGATGAATTGATGTCGTCTGGTTGATGTGGACCGCGGCAAAGTCGTCATATCGAGACTTTGAGCCTGGAACCATTCCGGCGGGAAACTTGGAAGGTTTGCTCTGCAAACATTTGACTGCTGAGATGTAAGCTTTCTTCTCCGTGGTGGAGAGAGAGCCATATTCTTTCCTGATCCTGGGGCTCTGGCATGATGATCTCGGTGCAACAAAGGCAGAGGCCAAGGAGAGATTCAACGTCAAAACAATGCTGCATAGCAGCGTCAGTGAACGGGTGAGTTGCGCCATTTTGATGAGCGGGTTTGGTTGTGAAAGGACAGGAACAGGGAATACTTAAAGACTCCTGGGTGTGTTTCCTGAACAGCATTTATCCTGTGCCTAGTTGGCCACAGAAACGTTCGACAAGGTTGTTGAAATTGTCAGGTCTAGAGGCCAGCTATGATCCACTTGGTGCTGAACGCCGTTTTTGAAAAGCACTTCGACCCGGCATGAAACTCCAGATGAAGAAATTAAATGGACATGGTGTGCATTTAGGTGCTGGAGGCCGACGAGTATGTCATTTTATGTGTGTTGGCTCAGGGGATACTTCCTCTACGGCAAGGCAAGTCTTGGTAAATTGTCCTGCTGCTGCTAAACAGGAAAGCCGCCCCAACTAGTCATTCACCTTCAATAATTCGTTAATCTCGCCTAGGATTCGTCTCTCGTTTCGGGCGCTGGAAGAGTATGCGTGAGCAACTAAGGACCAAGGACCTCGCAGTGGTCCTGTGCTTGCACTGCTCAAGTCAAGATCCCCGCCACGGAACCTGATGGCGGCTACATTCTCAAGATGGTCACTTTTCGTAATATAATCCAGCATCCAGTATAGACGCTGAACTTAGGAAATAGAGTGGGAGACGACATCGTCTTTCTGCTACGGATGGGGGAAAAACCAAGACTTCCGCCCTCTGCAAGTCTGGAGGCGACATGGTCAGGGCAATGTGGTCTGAGAAGATTTGTGGTTTCGAGGAAATGAGACGGGGCTGTTTGTGGTCCTTGTCGGGTCATGGCTTTCCATTTTGCAACTCCAACATCTTGCTTCGAGGGGTTAGCCCCCAATGCCAACGGAAACCTAAAAGACAGGCATTATCGCGGTATACCTGTTGACACCAAAAAGGGCCGGTCGATGCAGATGCCTCGTGGACATAATGTACAACGTACCCCGGAGGCGCTGCCCGAAACAAAGGCTCTGGTACATATGGGAAATGGGATTTCGATCACCAACTGCACCTGAGGCTGGCGATTTTTTTGATTTTTTTTTCGGTAAGGAGGGCTTCTCATTTAGTTCTCAGGCTCATCACGGTGGATAATCCCTTCCTTGACCTGACTTCTTCACCCGGTGACTTGGGCCTTCTTTAAGTCCTACATGCCCAACTCTTTCAATATCTTCTCGTTATGTTCCCCAACTTCTGGCACCTTGTCCATCCTGGCATGCAGACCCTCCACGTCCTGGCCTTCGGGAACGCATCCGGGAGGCAAAAGTGCAGGAATTACACCTTTCGATGTCTCGACCTCCGTCCATCGGTGTCTGGCACGCAACTGAGGATGCTCCCAAACACCTTGCATAGTGTTCACTGCAGCATTTGCGATCTGGGCCGTATCGAGCTTCTCCACAGCCTCCGAGACTGAATATTTCTCCAGGGCTTTGCAGATGATCTCCCTGAGCGCGTCTCTGTTCTGCACACGGAGAGAGTTGTTTGCGAAGCGGGCGTCAGTGGCCAAACTTGGATTGCCCAGAACAATGTCGCAGAACCTCGCAAACTCTCGTTCGTTCTGAATTCCGAGCATGACTGAGCCGCCGTCGCCTGTCTCGAAGGGTCCGTAGGGGTATATCGCTGCATGGGAGGCGCCCGTCGGGGTCGGCGCCGGCGCACCTTGGAAAGTATAATATAATGGGAAGCTCATCCATTCCACCAGACTTTCAAGCAATGAGATGTCAATCTGGCTTCCCTTGCCGGTCTTTTCCCGCTGCATCAACGCGGCAAGGATGTTGCTATAAGCGTACATTCCAGCGGAGATATCAGCAATGGATATGCCCACTTTCGCCGGCTCATCCTTGGTGCCAGTCACGGAGAGCATTCCACCTTCACTCTGGACCAGCAAATCGTATGCTTTCTTCGTAGCGTATGGCCCGTCCTGGCCGTAGCCGGAAATATCACAGACAATTAAACGGGGATGGATGTCCTTCAGCGTCTCATACGCGAGACCCAGGCGGGCGGAAGCACCAGGAGCTAGATTCTGCACAAGTACATCCGTCTGGCGAAGAAGTTTCTTCAGCACCTCCAAATCCCTCGGCTCCTTCAGATCCAATGCCAAACTCTCCTTCGAACGGTTCGTCCACACAAAGTGCGAGGCAAGTCCGTTCACACGAGTGTCGTAGTCTCGTGCAAAATCACCCACCCCGGGCCTCTCAACTTTAATGACACGCGCACCAAGATCGGCGAGCTGCCTCGTGCAGAATGGAGCGGCAATGGCCTGTTCAATGCTGACGACGGTGATGCCGTCAAGAGGCCTTGTCGACTTGGCTCCGCGCCTGTCTGTGGCTGTCGACGCAAAGCGACGTTGGCAACCAACGCGGCGTAGCCTGCCGGCGAGTCTCTCTCGCGGAGTCAATGTCGAAGTACTCTTTTGGCCCTGGTTGTCCTTTAGTTGCCGCCCACTGAGTACCGCGCTCCGGCTTTGAAGGCCGGCAGCGAGCGTGAGGCCTCTAGGTCGCAGGTTTTTCAGCATTATTTCGCGAAAGGGTGTGTATTGGTGATTTGTATCAGTGGTTGTACCTTCGCTTGAATGAGAGGCGAGCCAAGCAAAAGCTACAATCAAAAGGGCGCCGGGGCTTCTTGATCAATCATCCAGTCATTTTGCGGGGTCCAAGTTCATTGTGATACATGGCATGGTGTTTGTTTCTCGAGACAGCACAATGCTTTGAAGGCGGACCTCAAATAGAAGAGCGATGTGTTCTCTCGGAAACCCTCGCCGGCACCCGGCGGGTATGACGGAGGGACAACAGCCAGCGGCAACAATCTCGGAAACTCGCACCATGGAGCTCGACTTCGCGAGACCGAGGTCGCCATTTCGATACAACCAATCGGCAGACAGTAAAGGATGGCAGCTCTGTCTCGAAACTCCGTTATCGGTGGCCATTGTTGCCAGGGCAATGTTCCAGGCACAACGCATCATTCTGCGTTCATCGCATACGAGCAGATGCTTCACGTATCCAACCAACACCCATTAACGATAGGGATCGTTGCAAGACGACTTCAGCATAGAATCTCATCATGAGGTCATCTGGTACGTGTTCTCCCAGCCTCGAACCAACTGCCAGCCGTTGGGACACTTCTTCAGCCCGGGGAAGTGTCCAGCAGCTTGACCACTCTTCTACATCCTTGCGTGGACTGGTGTGAGGGTGTGTAACCCATTCCAGCGTAGCCACTGCCTTGAAGTTGCAATTCCTAGAATGGACTTGGATGTTTTGCATATATGCCCTAGAGCCGTGGCCATGATGGCGGTTAACCCCCAAGGAGGAAAAAAATGGGGGAGCCCGAGTCGAGTATACGTACGTACATACATACATACATACATACATACATACATATCCAGGTGTCTCAATATCCCCACATTTTCCTTCACACCTTATCCGCGACCGCCTGACCAGTCTGCTCGCCAGGCATCTTGAAGACGATCTTGTGGACCTTCCTGGCCTCGAAGTCCTTGTAGGCCTGGGGCGCATCCTCGAGGGACATGGTGCGGCCGCAGAGGAAGGCGACCTTTTTCTGCTCCTTGACCAGGATATCCAGGGCGTCCTCGAAGATGCTGCGCACGGGACACCGGCCAAAGGCCATGGTGACATTCTTGCCGTAGCACAGCAGGCCGTTAAGCGGGATCATCTCGGTGTGCACGCCGATGGAAGAGATCTGGCCAAAGGGGCGGATCATGTCGAAGGCCAGCATGAAGGCGTCCGTGTGCCCGACCACCTCGAGCACCACGTCGGCGCCGCGCCCGCCGCTCGCCGCCTTGATCTTCTCCACGGGGTTGTCGTTGAGGTTGATCGGGATGGCCCCGATCTTCTCCGCCTCGGCCAGCCGCTCGGGCACCGAGTCGATCGCGTACACCGTCTTGACCATCGTCAGCGCGCAGGTGATGGCGCAGATGCCCACAGGCCCGCACCCGATGACCACCGTGGTGAACTCGTCGCGGTCGCGCTGCGGCAGGTTCTTCAAGAACCGCGACGCCGCGAAGTAGCCCGTCGGGAAGATATCGGCCATCAGAACAAGCATTTCCTCAGGGATCCCTGTTTCGCAAGCACACGCCCGCCACGTCAATGAGGAAAACTCGCCAGAGAGTGAAAGGAAGTAGGGATAAATAAGCCACAAAGGGGTGGGGAAGTGGACGTGTTGGGTGGTTTTGGGTAGGCCAGGTGTTTTGTGAACTCACCAGACGGGGCCTTGACCAACGTGGTGTTTGCCAACGGCACCCTCACGTACTCGGCCTGCCCGCCGTCGACCGTGTTGGCGGGGACCGAGTTTCCGAACAGTTCGCCCTTGATGCACCGGCTGGCCTGGCCGCGCACGCAGTAGTAGCACTCCTGGCAGGCCGTGTAGAAGGGCACGACGACCTTGTCGCCGATCTGGAAGTTGGTGACTGCGTCGCCCTTTTCGGCGATGGTGCCCACGAACTCGTGGCCGCAGACGAAGCCCGGCGGGCACTTCAAGTGGCCGCGGTAGAAATGGAGGTCCGAGCCCTAAAGCAGAGCCGTTTAGTGGATTGGGTTCTCCTATCATGCCATGAAGAACGGATGAGGGGTTCTGTGTATCTAGACAGGAGAGGGACGTGTGTTGGGCCCAGAGAGCAACATGATAGAAGGCCCACTGGGGAGGAGGGAGAGAGTTTTGGGAGGCGTGGATGAGTGCAAATACTTACACAGAGAGCAGTCGAAGTCACTTTGAGCACGGCGTCGGTGGGCTTCTGGAGCTTCGGGTACGGTCTATCTTCCACTTCGACCTACAATGCCACAGTCGAACACCAGACATGGTTAGCCTGTTCGTTGCTTTGCTGTTGAACATCGTTTTTTCTCTTTTTCCTTTTTGTCCCGCGGCTCTCGCCACGCAAGACCCTCCCCAGTCTCCGAGGGGTGAGCAACAAGAACGGAGCCTGGGAACACCGCTGGAAAATTTGTTCCATCGAGCGAGCAAGCAAGGAGTGTTGATCTGGTCTTTTCCTACTTACATGGAAGTCACCCTTCAGGACGACGGCACGCATTGTAGCAGGAGGCATGTTGGCGACCGGGCAACGGCGTCAAAGGATGATTTCAGCGTCTTGTCTAGCTTCTTCGGATTTCAACCACGGCGGGTGTTCTCAGGCGTGGCCGGATTAGCTGCTCGATTTTTATGTAGAGCAGTTGGAGTCGACTTGTCCGACAAGGGTGTGATTCAATGCCCGGATGGGGTGGAAGAAATGGACGGAGGGAGGGAGAGAGGGAGGGAGGGGGAACACAGAAAATGGCTCGGGAAGTCGAGAGTCGAGGCTCGTTCTGAAAATGCAATGCTTTGCTTGGAGCTTTCGGTTAAGGATGTTACTTGCTTGTTATGGAGATATATAGATAGATATGTTTACGCTGGTTTGACTCAGGAGCGTCGTGATAGAATCCGTCATGAGACTTCTTGTGTTTGCGCTTCTCCTCCACCTTGCTCCTCCTCATCCTCCTCCTCCTCCTCCTCCTTCTTTTCACTTCTCTCCCAATCCCTTCTCTGTAAAAATCCCCCGTCCGATACTGACTCGGAGAAGCGGGGGTTCTTGCCATTGGGGCAGCCATTTCCCCGCCCTTGGGAAGGTTATTTTGGGCGAAAGGGCCGCGGCAATCGATTCGCGGCGAACATGCGGGGGGAAAGAGGAAAGGAGATGGACGACTATGACGACGCGCCACGAGGCTGAGTGCCCCCTCTTTCTCCAAGATAAGGCTATCTGCCTATGTCCGCCCCTCTCGAGCCCATAGGGACTGAATCGAAAGACTGAGCATTGAACTACCTAGGTAGCTAACCAACGACTAGTTAAGCGAACGAAATCACCCACGAGCTGAGACGAACTCCTCCGAATGGGCCTCTACTGCTGCTCTTAGCACCTGATTTCGGGGTTTCCGAAGTCGAAAACACCCCATAATTCTGACAGAAAGGCGAGCGTGAACTCCATTGAGCCGTGCCGGTATTTATTGTCATGCTCCATAATCATTTCGGGTCGTCCTCGGTTGCCAATTTTTGCCGTCTTTTAACCAATAGTACCATAAGTCACACTATATCACAAAGAATTTGGACAGCTCAAATCCGCCATGGCGGCAGTTCTGCTTGCTTGGACGCCAATTAATACTCAAAGTCATCATACCCACTCCCGTCATATCTCCTCCGGATGCTTCCTGAAACGCTGCTCAAGTCCACGCTCTGTCTTCCGTCATTGGGATGCAGGAAGTTGGAATCCTGGTTCTGGTTCTCCTGGTACGTCGAGGACCCAGATCTCCTGCTCTGTGTCGAAGCAGCGTATGTCAACGCCTCGTGCGGCAAATCTTTGACCTCGAACGAGTTGTCGCTTGCTTGTCGTACAGGCAGTGGCTCTGGATTCGCACCGTAGTTGGGGTATCGGGCTTGTTGGCTAGGAAGCAGCGCACGGCCTCCTTTCGCAGTTGGAGTGGTTGCGGTTGGCGAAGTCACTTTGTTGAATGCCGCGCTGGCGCTGGCCATTTGATCCCGAGCAGAAACGGGATTCCTCATCGCAGCCGACGAGGAGGGGGAAAAGGTATGTGTGATAAAGTCAAAGCTAGGCACCGACGCCGGGATAGAGTTTCGGAAAGGATTGCCTTGGTCTTCGTAGGGGCTGTCTTCACCTCGCTCGATGGGTGTTTTTAATGCGTTCGGCATGGCTGATGTCGGCGTGGCACTGGCGGTGTAAGAAGTCGGCGTATTGTCATTGCTGCCCGTGGAATGATCGTTCGGGTTGACCAGTGAGAGCCTGGGCGGTCCTGCCCTAGTTAGGTCCAGTTGCGAGCCTTGAGGAGTGTAATCGTCAAATTGCTGATCTGGGTCAGCGTTTGGGTCGAAGAATTTCTCATCAGTAAGGTAGGGGTTTGTTTTGTCGTCCGTGTCGTCGAAATTAGTAGTTGGCATTTCCACTACCCCTTCAGGAAGGGTATATGGTCTGTCACTAAGAGATACCCCTGCCCGGGTTCCATCAGATGCCGCAGGATCATATAAGCCGGTCGGATCAATCTGATAATGGTTCGGTGGTAATGAGAAGGGCAGTTCTGGGACAATGCTTGACCGACCGGACATTCTGTCCCCTTGAACATGCCCCTTGGAATCTGAAGCGATCGAAGCTCGCCGCTGATCTGGGTGATTCACTGACAGAGTTTTGCTCACCATACTGGTGGCTTTGCGTTCACCGGGCGTTGCAGAGACTTGTCCGTCAGGTCCATCGGCGTCTCGAATCCCGAACTGGGCAATGGTTCTTAATTTTCTCGTCACCCACGAGGCCAAGATCTTGCCTCTCTGCTTCTCTGATAACCTGCTCCTGGGAAAGTCGCCGTCGCCGACAAAGGCCACAATGTCGACAACGATTTGATGTTCGTGAAGGACGGCATTGACAATGACCGGCACGATGGACGCCAGGTAGGATTTTCGGAAGACTTCAACCAGGACAACAACCATGCCGCCAGCTTGGAAGACAGCACACCCACCAGGAGTAATGTT